ATATTCTGAGCCAAAAAGTTTGCAATGTATGAAAAATTGAAGACTTTCGGATACAGGATGCTTCTGAAAAAATCTTGATTTCCGTTGTAAGTGAGAGAAAATCACATCACTTTAATTTTCGTTTCTAGTGATCTACATAAAATATTTCTAAGGGAGACCAAGAAAAAAATAACACAACCTCCGTAGATTTACGAGCTCTTCCCATTGACATGTCGTTGGAACGCCTATGCTCTTATATTTACTTTAATAATAGTTTTTAAGGATTACCTATTAAACTGTTGCATTTTAATGCTCATTAAAATCAAAATGTGTTTACTTCACTTTTATTGAATTAAAAACAAAATAGAATTTAAAAAAATAGTGTAAAATTTAAAACAACTCACATCTACTTATCTGGCGTCAGTTGTTTATTTGCAGTTTTAACTTTCATTATTCAGAACTGTGAGTGCCAGTTTGCAAATACGAACAGTTAAAATTTTTGTTGCTGCCAATAAAAAATAAAAACATTTGTTTACGTTTGATTTTTTTCATTTTCATATATTATGGAATTACGTAGAAAAAGTATAGCGTTTTTCTTGTTTTCATTACTCGTAAAATCAGGCCTCTAATACAAAATTAAGTGTGCGAAGAAACGTATTTAGGTTAGTATCAACAAAAGAAAAATTTTTTTTAGGTAGGTATATAGTAGCCTTAACAAATACAGAATTTAAAACTGAAATGTTACAATTAACTTTATTCATTAATAATTATATATTTTTTGTAACATTTTGTAATTTTATACCTTCTACCAACACTTTGGATTTATAGGCCTGATGATGGCTATATACTCCGAAACTAGTTGGTCTGTTGTTTACGTCGTTTAATTTCTTTTAAAATTCAGGGCTGCTATGGAAATTTGACATATTTCACTATGTATACTAGTAATTAATATTATTTTAATATTAATTACTACAGTACTTATTAGAGAGTTATTGCAAGTTATGGTCAGTCACTATTAGTGCCGCTCTTATTTTGACATCTAAGCATGCGCAGATCGTTTATGTTTTAAAACTGACTTTATTAAAGATTGGGCCTGTCATTAATTGTGTATGTTTAAGGGTAGCAGGTAGTGGCGAATTTATAGCTTTCGGGTGCGCTCGCCGACATTCGTATCCGTTTTTTAATATTAAATATTTAATATTATCGTCATCTAAACTCTCTAAAATTATAATTTCTAATGCCTCTTCAATATTATAGACTATTATAGATTACAAAAAAGATGAGCTGTAATTTAAAATTTTTAAAATGAGGTTGGAAATATGTATAAGGACAATGACTCTAATGTCAAAATTTCAGGTTTGCAATAAGTTATTTTAGCATGGAATTTATTTGCCTCTAATTACGTTGTCACTATTAGTGGCTGACGTTATAGAAATTTGCAATATCTCTTTAATATTTTGTATTAGACATAGCAGGGCTGACATTCGGTTTTGCTAATATCTCCCACCATATCTTCTAATTCTAGTCTACAACTGGCTGTTGCCGTTGCCATTTTATTAACTTATTTACCAGTCGTGTGCCCACATACTTTGATTTTCTTTTACTATACGGAGAATGGTCGCACTGTGCAGCTTTCTGAGTGCCTTTTAAAAGGAGGTAGAAAACTCCGGCATTTTGAACCCTTATTACGTGTTGCCTACATCTTGGCGCAATATTTTTAATAGGTGCGTTTTAATCATCCGCTTCTGCTTCGGAATTGTCGGTTTTCTTGTTTTAATCTGACAGGTTAAAACGACTAAACCGACAATTCCGGAAGCAGAAGCGGATGATTAAAACGCACCTGATATTTTGCTTGCTGCTGTTAGTGTCAGTGAATATTATTTTTGAAGTCACAGTTTATTGCTAAAGAATCAGTTAGCTCACTCGGACCAGTTGAAAGTTCCAAAATAACATCCACTCCAGGGATACAAATTCAGGATACGCAGAAGACTGCTGTTTTATTATAGGCGGTTGTCATATATTGTATTATCCGAGTTGCACAGTGTATAAACTGAAACATTGAGATCAAAAGTGTCGACGCAGAGTGAGCGATCTAATTCTTTAGCTGTAAACTGGGTCACAGGGTTCAAAATGGCCGCGCCCTATGTTGGGCGTGTCGGACCTCTCTCTTGCCTCGTATAGTAATCAAGGTATGTGCGTGTGTATGGAGGGTAGAGAAAAGGAGGACAATCTTATATGGATCTTTATATTAAAAAGTGGCCACCAAAATGTATACAATTAAGATTTCGCTCGTGTAGCCAGGGGACAAAATCCAATGCTATATAGTCATATAGATTGCTCATTCATAATTAAATCAGACAGGAAGCAGTAAATTGAGACCTCCGTGCCATTTTAATATAAGAATTATTTATTGTTTATATTATTATTTTTCAATAAAATTTGACTATTGTCGTGTATTGTGATTACCTACGATCACAGAACACTTACTCTTCTACGATCAGTCACTTTTCACGGTGTAGTTTTTAGTTTTTTATGGTTGAGCAATATTTATTACAATATACATCATTGGTGTCATTGTGTGATCTGGATTATCGACTGTCGACGTCCCCGGGGCACAGAAGCGCCATCTTAATTGTATACATTTTGAGGGACACTTTTTGTATACAGAGATTGTTTTTCTTTCCTCTACCCTCCATATGCGTGTGCCTAACACGAAAAAATAAGTGGTTATGTTCTGTGACATGTCATTTGAAGCAGCGTTGTCTTATATAAAAAAATCTATGAACTGGAGAAATTTTTAATCCGGCCATTATTAGGTATTCCAAGCAAAATGGTTGCTTGTGGGCATTGATATGGCAACCCTGTACACCTGGGAGATTTGACAGGTTGATGTAGATATAGATTGTTCATTCATGTTTCTCAAAACACAGTGTCTAGGTACACGCGAAACGTCTTAACAGAATAGGTGAGCTGTGTGCAGGCCGTTGGTGTTTACACCGGTCGGCGTAGCTAGGTATGGATTGAAATCTTTTTGTGGCGGCCATCCTACGGGAAGTCGTTGCTTCGTTTTATTGTTGTTACGGCATTATTATTATTTGTTCATGTATGTGAAATTTGCTTCTAAGGTTTATAAAATACTACTGCTAGTCACGGCCTAAATGAAAACAAACAAGACGCATTCACACAAACACCTCCCACCACAGCAATATGAAGTTTCGCGTGTATATAATTTTTTGATTTGTGTACACTTTAGCGTGTACCTAGCAACAGCGTTCTCAAAATAAACATAATCTCATGCCTTAAAGAAAAAATATAGGTAACACATTTTTGCTAAATCGATTCTGATTAATAATCAATTGCGAGGCAATATGGCCTCGAGCAGTCTATACAACTATATTATCATTGACCTTGTCAAAGTCCACAGACAGCAATTTTGACAGGTCGTTGGAATGCCTAAAATACATTTTATTAGACTGGAATTTTTCGAAAAGATAAAGTGCTATTAAAGTCATATTAGAAGGGCTAGTTATTGAATCTAGTTTATGATGTAGATGGAATATGCAGAATTGTGTTAGTGTGTCATCAGTTTTCGAGGAATTCTTATTAAATTTTTATAATAAATACACAAAATATATTAAAAAGATTTTAGATTTATTGTTTGTGGTTATGTTGCCTCTTCCTTTTTTTTAGAATTGACAAAATTTGAAATAAAAAATATATATAAAATATAATAGTTTTTAGTAGGATATTTACGAACAAGAATAACTTTGATAGTGTCACTAATATTACACAGAGTTTTGACTTGCATAGTCATTCTGGATTTAAATTAATTTTGATTGATTTTAACCGATAAGGATTATAAAAATAGTTTTTATAGGAAAAAATGTATTTTTTGCATATTTTCAGTAAATTTATTGATAGTAGTAAAATTTTAAATTCTTGAGAAGTAAATAAAACCTGATTAATAACTTTTTATAAGGATATGATTTTCTGACAAATAAAAAATGTGAAATTTCCAATATAGTATAGTTATTTATGCAACAAGTGTGTAAAGTTACTCTTTTTTGACGAATGTGAATGTTGTCGAACAAGTCGTAGGCGAGAGCGACAATCACATGAGCCAAAAAAGGGACTTTACACACGAGTTGTATACAATATTTTTCTACTACCATACATATTATCCACTAATATTAGAAATATAAAAGTTACTTTTTTTCACTAGTGCGTAAAGTAAATTATAATTAAAATAAAAATTTATTGATAATTTGTTGGACACTAAATAGATATAAGCAAAAATAATTTACATATTTGTCTTAGAAGGAGCATAAAAATGGTAATATAAAATAAAACGTTATATTTTGTTGCTATGTACAATTTTTGTCAAATTTTACTTTTTTCACTAGTGCGTAAAGAGTTTTACTTTAAGCACTAGTGAAAAAAGTACAACTTCACGCACCTCGTGGAGTGCGTAAAGTATGTACTTTATACAGGGTAGTAGAAAAAAAGACTTTTTGCTTCTACTTTATAGGTATTACCTTCTAATGCTTAACTCATAAAGAAATGAACATTATATTGCTTAATAAATGTAGTAAAAAACATTACGCACAAATTAAAAAGTTCTATGAGTGCGTAAATGCTTTTCAATGCGCATTAAGTACTAAACTTTACCTATGACCAAATATGCATGTAAATATTAACTTGTAAAATATATTCTATGCATTTAGTGTGCGTTTTATTAACCATGCGATTTGTTTACTATCTATAATGAGCTATATACTGCGCCAGTAGGTTGTATGCGTTTTATTATCATGCGATTTGTTTACTAGATATAATGAGCTAATCACTACGCATCTAGGTCGTGTGTTTTTGTCTGCTTTCCATAATGGTTTTAGGTAAAACTATTTTTTAGGTTATCTTTACTATCTTAAAATTAAAGTTTGAGTGTTTTTACTTGACCATTTCTACCGCAAATGCTACGATTCCAAATTTATCATCGGGTTACTTGAAACTCAGATTCTTTTAACAATAGCATTTTATTAAATAAATTATTGCATTTATACAGATTCATAAACATAAATTTTTATAAATAAAAGCCAGCATTTAGCGTATTAGAGCCAAAGCTGAATTCACTCCATATTTATCACTTGGAAGTTGAACAAATTATCATTGGAATTCACCATCACTAACCTACGTCAGAATCAATAAAATTTTTGATCCAGTGATTCATTGTTAAAATATTTAACTGTAACAGCTTTCAGCCGTATTTAATAACAACTAACAATAACTAGATGGATAGAATTGGACAAAGACAAAATTGTTTGTACTTTTTACAAAATTTTACACAAAATAGTACTTAAGGTAATCATTTCTTACTTTTTACTATAAGTTTGGCAGATTGTTCGACCTGACCGGCTGAGGATGTTGCTCTGCAAGTGAACACTCCACTGTCTTCTTCGTACGTTGAGGAAATCATCAAGATTGCGTTGTTTCCTTCTTGGATCATCTGTAACAAACAAAAAAATAATTTTATTTTACCATCAAAATTTCATAAAATATATAAATGTTCTGAAAATTATCTTTTAGAGATAGAAAAGGCACGGAATTTTAAATATTGACTATAAAAAGCTAATGAAACTCTGTATATCCTTGTGATGATGCCTTTATGTAACAATAATCGATGCCGCTAAAAGTGCATGGTACTACAAAAGTTCTGCCACTTATGAAAAGATAATTAGTTTCTTTTTTGTCGTTGATTTCAGCCGGTTGTCTATTTAGTTTTATGTATGCAGTGTAAAGTTACAAACAGTTTTCCTAAACATGTATGAAATTAAGATTGCATTACTGTACCAGAATACCGCTTAAAAAAAGCGCCAAAAGTTGTTATAGTCGACAGAAAAATTGAAGAAAAACTACATTCTCACAGTAAAATTCAAGAAACGAAGACCTATTAAAATTTCAATTACGCAGGGTGTTTTGAAAGTTGAGTCATTTATTTCTACAGCTTTTAGAACTCGTCAAAAATAGCTATTTGTGTATTAAGAGCAAAAAGTACTACTTTGCCGCTTAAGATAAAAAAAAAACAATAACTGGGGAGGATTGAACTCACGACCATCGGGTTCAAAGACAAACGCGCTAGGCTCTACACCAACAAAATATGTGAGTGTTAAATACAGGGTAATTTATTTTTAATATTTTAATTATTTAAATATTAAGGAAAATGAGTTTGAGTATTAAATAATCACCTGAAAGATTCAGATTAGTCTACATTTTCTTTTAAAATACCGATTAGCTTTATAATAACAAACTTTATAATGAAAATAGGCTTGTGAAAAAAGTAACTTTCCGTCTATATGTGGCAATAATGTCAAACTATGACAATTCATGGAAAACGTCAATTTTCCAGTTAGATTTAAATGTGCAAAAGTTTACTTTGGATAGTGATCGAAGAAAAAAGTATTTACCAAAAATCACCTACTTATATAAAAGTTGCACAAATATAAATTATTTTAAAAAACCATAAAAATCCATTATCAGTAAAATAATTTTTTTTTACAAAAATTGGGAAAATTTTCCCCATTTATTTGATTTGCTTCCCACTAAACATAAAACATTACCAGTCTTTTTTGTAACGTTTCTCATAGAGACTTTTCTTGATATATTTTTAAAACAATGCTAAAAGCTCCCATAGATTGTTTAAATTTTAACATCATATTCATTAACATTCCTCGCATATATCTACAAATGAAGTTTTGTGTATGCTGGAATACTTCAATTAGCAGTTACATAAACATCTTTTGTACTTATTTTTAGTTACTTTTTGTAACAAAAATTTATACGATGTTAATTTATATAACTTACAATAATATCGCATACAGGTCAGCACACTAATGTGTACAAGTTACACATCTTTAAGATGGCTATCTTTAGTCTTTACATCACAGACCTAACAGTTCGCTCCACGTTCATAGATGGAAATACCAATGATTGCTTGCTAATTATGTAACCGATAGTACTGTTTTTTGGAAAAGTCTGATGCTCAGTGTTAAGTATTTCACCAAAGTTCTTACTTTTACCTTTTATATTTAGACCATTGTATTATTATACTTTTTCTGTAAAATTTCCTGGGATTAGAATAGAAGTTTAACTTGTCCTCTAAGTTTTTAACTTCAAGTTTATTTCTATTCTGCTTTATATAGATGAAATATATAAAATTCAGATAAAAACAAAAAGGTATGAACGTCAAATTTAGTTCTTTAATATGATTTTATTTTATGGGGTTTATAATAAAATCTACTTTCTTGGATATAACAGGAATGTTACATCTGGTTTGTTAAACAGACATCATATTTGGGAACTTCCAGTAACGTTGAATAACGTAACAAAGTAGCCGTATAATATCACCGGAACGTCTACATTGTTTCACCACAAAAGTAAACGTCCCTACTCTGGGCTTAGACGGTTATGAGTCCGTCCTTTAGATGAAGACAAGAGTAAAAATGAAAGTTACATTGTAACAATGTAATGTAAAGTTCTCATTAATTTAATGTTTTTATGCATAGTGGGTTTGAGTAGCCATGACTCTTTACAAGCTTCAAAAATAAAATCCTGGTGTCCAAAAATAACATCATAAGCATTTTCAATACGCTGTTGATATTCTTTGCCAGTATTTACTTCTCCATCATGATTCACTAACTTTTTTAGCCCTCAGTAGCTATCGGAAAAAAATCGCAAGGCGTTAAATCCGGAAAGCGTGCAGGCCAATACATGGGTCCATTGTGCCATATCCATCTATTAGGAAACTCATTACTTAGATGTTCATGAATTTCTCGTCTAAAATGTGTTGGAGCCACATCATTTAGGGACCATATATTGTCTCACATTTAAAGGAACATCTTCTAATAATTGTAGCAGATTGTGTCGAAGAAAATCTAAATACATTTCACCGGTCAGTCAAGATAGAAAAAAGTAGGGTTCATAAGCATGATGCCATTTAATGAAAATCTATAATGAAAATCCATAATGAAAATCTATAATGAAAACCTATAATGAAAATCTATAATGAAAATCTATGATTAAAATCTATAATGAAAGAGAGTTCTTTTTCTCAGTATGCGGATTTTCTACTGCCCAAACAAGATTGTTGTGGAAATTGTAGCCAAAATTATTTTTGTAAAATCTTCATTTCTTTTAAACTATTCTAAAAGCCACAGGCAAAATTCAACCCTTCTAGGCTGATCTTCAGGTTGTAACGCTTGAACCCGTTAATAATGATACGGATAACAACTTGACCTGCTATGGCTATCGTACTCATTATTGGGTCGTCTTCGACCATTTCTAAAATATCTTCCCCAATTTGTAACATTTCAGATGGAGCAGGCCTTTCAGCGTAACCTCCTCGTTGTTCTTTGCTGCGGCTGCATTTTGTTGGCACTCCCCGAATGTTAGTATTATGCCCACTAGTCCATTGTTTTCATAAATGTGGGTCATATTTTTCGTACAAAATATCGACAAAATAAAAGTATTACACACTATTAAACGACTACACTAAGCATGTACTGAAAACCGTACAATAACACAAAAAGTTAGCCATACCTAGATAAGCAATATCTAATATCAATAGTAAACACAAAACACTAAGTTTATACATGACAGTAGGGTCTATTCTGTAGCAATTCCTTTATATTTTAAGACCGTTAAAATATAAGCGGCCTTTAGAAATACTTTCGTATTCACTAACTTACTTTTGTCATTATTTAAGCGAATAGATACATCTATTACATTTAATATTTCAGAACCGAATTTCGATTACATCAAAGGTCAGTTAGGGACTTGAGAGATCTATTTCAGTTACGAAATGTAGATTTTAAAAATATTTTTCGGTTTTAAAGATTTAGCCAGAACTATAGTTTATATAGAGCAAATTTCGTTGTATATATTGGATTTATTTTCCCATCGTGAAGCAAATTTTGCTGTTCTGAAAAGTCTATCATCAACTCTTTTTGGTTTTTAGTAGTTCTTGGTGCGCAAGACATTTTTTATTTTAAATGTATGTAGTATGTTTTGGTTTTGAATTGAAAATTGAGGGGTTGTATGGTTATGTTTTCAAATTTATTCTTCTAATCCTTCAAAATTAGTTCAAATGAATCTTAAATACGATGTTGTCAAGTGTTTTCCTGTCGTTTTTAAGGGAATCCGTTAAAATAAATAATTTTTAACAGGCCTCTAAAATTTGTGTATACAGAATACCATTTTTGGTTAAAAAATTTTTAAAGGCCTCTTAATTTTAACGGATGTGTTACAGAATATACCCCAGTGTAGGGAATATCAAAACATCAGTGTAATAAAATTTTTATTTTTAAAAATGTTTAATCTGTTATTATTTCTTTCAATATGCACTTTTTATATAGGTAACTTTTGGTATATCAACTTCTTTTGACGAGTTCTACAAGCTGTTAAAATAAATGATTCAACTTTAAAAATACCCTATATACGAGTAGCTCACTTTTCACGGTGTAGTTTTGAACTTTTGCAATCACTTGAACAGCGTTTGATTGCACAAATTTTTCCCATTGTAATACTGTTTACAAGTTTTGAATTTGAATGCGCATGTGTAGTGGGTTTTATTGCGCATACAAATTAAGAACGGTTCTGTACTACTGTTGGAATATTATTACAATAAAATTTGAATCAAAATGTCTCTACGATTATACTGTACGTTAACCAACGCATCAAGGAAAATAAAAATGATACCCCTATTTATATTTGGATGTGAGAGAGTCAAAGAGAGACTTTTTTAACCCCGCCCCTTCGATGACAAGTATGGGATGTTATTGTATTGCGTTCCGTATTATTCTATTTCTCTCTATTCAATATAATTATGTTGTTATATCGTTCTCCTGGAGTCAGGATTGCAAAGTTAATGTACTTAAAGCTGAATAATTTAGAACGGTGTAGTTTTTTGGTTTAAGATAATATAACTAATTAAAAAAAAAAAAAATAATGATTTTTACTAATTTATAAAATAAACTTTAAAAAAAGATTATATTTAATTAGTCTCCAATTCTAGATTTGAACCCGGTATCTTTTGCATGACATCTCAATACTCTCAGCTTTATCGAACACCTAACATTTTAGTTTCAATACTCATAATTGAATTGATTTCTATAGTTTTATTAAAATTTATGACTTATTTGTAAATATAGGCAAATATCTTGTGAAAAGTGTTATTATTTATCAATTCTTCACAAGAATAACTCATTTTTAAGTGTCAATAACTAAAAACTATACTGACAATTAGTTTGACGGAATTGTCACTTATTTAAATTTTTTAAAAATAATAGCAGCCTAGTGACCAAATATGAACAGTGATTGGTGGATTTTATATTCGTGCAGTGTTCTTACTAGGTAAAATGGATATTTATTTATTTTATTTATTTATTTAATTAAACATCCAACGGCCAATAGCTACTTACAGGATGAGTAGTAATACAAAAACTTAGAAAC